TTACCTGTGTCTTCACTGTGTGCTCCCGTCCAAACATCTGAAGAGTCACGGGCGACCACAAAGGATCTTGGGGCAGGCGCATGCGCAGTTCAGACGTTCGGCCCGGAGACTCGGAGAGACAGACAGTAAGTCTATGGAGCAGCGTGCACCTGTACAGACACCGTGAGGCATGAGTGAAGAGGAGGACAGAAGTGTCAGCGCTGGATCGGAGACCCGCACCCAGCGCTGGAGGGACAGCTGAAAAGGGCAGGAAAGAAGAAGATTAGATTAAAAGACATCATTTAAGGTAAGTCCCTACAGCAGGATTGGGAAGGGGTAAAAATTATTTGACTTTAATGTCACTTTAGCATGGAAAAAAAACAATTCTCGAATAGCATTAACAACCTTGCAGTTACAGAATTATAGGGTGGGAATTGTGCTCTCCCATGCCAGGATGTATTTTTTAGCAGCACAGCTACAACAACTGGTGGGATGGGGGGATAAAATATGGGAAGATCCTGTCCAGGCAATCCTACTCTCTGTATTCTCTACTGTAGTTACCCTATTATATCTCAGATAGAGGCAGGTATTCTCTCCATACGGTCCACAAATTCTACATTTTCTTTAAAGGCAAGAGTGTGGAAAGCTATGAAGGAGGTCATGGGATAAGAGGGGTGTACATCCTTTACACCTATTTGGTATAATTTAGAATTTGTTGAATTGGCAAAATTGACACATTTAGGAGGCTGGATGGATAAAGGTTTACAATATGTCCCGCAGTTGTTTGAGGGTGATAAGTTGAAAACGTTTCAGACTCTGAAAGAAGAGTTTGATTTGCCTAATTCTCATTTTTTTAAAAATATTTACAATTACGACATGCGTTAGAGGCTCAGCGGCAATTTATTTATACGCGTGTCTGCAGTATATATTCGTGTAGATGAAGTCAGAGGTCATCAATAAATAATGTGATTCAAAGAGACCCTGTCACCTCAAGCATATCTAAAAACTTTTTTTTTTGTATTTTGAATAGAGTAGGTAAGTGTTAAAAATATTTATTGGTATCTTTTGCTATTCTGCATCCCACTCAAGAGATTTCTCTTTACTTCTTGTCATGTAGAGCAAATCTCTCCAAAGCATACCTCCCAAATTTAGAATGAGGGATACTGGCACCAGGTGGTGAAACTTGGAACCCTTTACCCTAGGTGCTGAGACATTGGAAAAACCTGGGGACTGGTTGAAATCCCAGGACAGTCCGGCAGAAATCAGGATAGTTTGCGGTATGCCAAAGTGAGGTAAATCTTGGGGTAGAACAGCTCCATTGAAAATAATTGGACGACGACTTCTCGCGATATTGCGCGGCAAATTTGTGCGATATCGCGGTGAAAATTGTGCAATTAAACACCCAGTGTGAATGGGCACTGTAATCCATTAATATAAAATCATATAAAATCTCCTATTTTTACTAATTCCCTCTCCCTTATATAATCCATGATTTGGATTTATAAGCTGAGAGCCAATGTATCTCCTGGCTTAAATGAGGTTCTAAGTTTTAAACCTTTCATTCAAAGCTAAAGTAACTAAAAAAGTATCAACATTGTCAATTACCCATAGAGAGTTATGACATTATCATAAATGTCCAAGGGTTTTGTCTTATAGAGACAAGGGTTCATGGATTCTTAGATAAGAGCTATAGAAAGGCGGATATAGAAACAAACTAACATAGAAATAAGTATTGGATAATTGAGCTTGCATATCAATCTAATTTTGTTTTTGTTGTGGGATAAACATACTGAGTGACCCTAAAGCTGCTGGGGATCGTGTGTTCTAGCTGTGAAACCTAAGTGGCGAAACCATATGGGCATCTGACTGCACCCTTTTCCTCCAGATCATGATATCAAGTATGAATAATAGGGAATAGATAGTGGGAGGATAAGAGTAAGAGTATCTAGAAAAATAATCTGACAGTTTGCTTGAATCACATGAAGGGTTAACACTATGTTTATGTCTGTTGAGTAATGTAAAAATTAGGAGAACACTAATAGCTACATGGGGGATAAGAGCGTTACAAACACACATGTTGGGTGATGTTACACGCCAGTTGGCGTGTTGTATGAGTGCAGTGTAAAAGTAAATATTGGGTTCTATTAGATTGCAATATGGGAGGAACACCTGGCTCTCCAAATAAGGGGTTATAATCATGTAAACACAGTATGATCTATTTATTATTAATAATCATGGATTATATAAGGGTGAGGGAATTGGTAAAAATAGGAGATTTTATATGAAAATGGAATAATGTTATATATTAATGGATTACACTAAATGGGAGGATTCACTGATACCCTATATATGGGTTCTATGAGAATGGTCATGGGTGGATAACTAAATATTGTAGAGGTTAATTTATATTTATTATACTAGAATAAATTAGAATAAGAACATGGGGTACACTAATGATTGACAAACTGCCTATATGAAGATATCGTGAATTAATCAATGAGAAATGACTAACATTGAATATATCAAATGGTAAACGTCAGCAGCAGCATCTAAAGGAGAAATACGGCATTTATTGCTAGCTAAAGTCTGCGATTTGTTGCTAACAAGTGAGCGTGTATACAATCGGAGAGCCTGGATTTAAATAGGAGCGCACGCCTTCCGGTGACATCACATGCCAATTCGGCGTGGTGATACCGGAAGGTGGGGGCACATAAAAAGCAGTGGAGAGATAGTGAAGGAAGAGACAGAGGAGAAAGATGGAGATGCGTGGCAGCAGTGAAACTATATGAGAGGAAGGAGGGCAAAGTGGCTGAGTACTGGGTAGGTGCATATGAGATTTTGTTACACATAATTTTGAATTGAGGGGAACACTGGAAAACTCTGTAAGGGGAATTAAGTAATGAATATTGGAGTGATAGGGTGGAGATATAGGGAATAATGTGTGAACTAGTCGAGTGTGTGAAATGTTTATGATGTGCATTTGGAACACTGGGTCATACTATTTAAGATGGGATATCATGGGTATACACTGAGAGCACTATTATGGTCACATATTTAATCCAATAAAGGCTACACAGTGTGGAGTCAATTAAGATATAGATTGGGGGTATTGCATATGATTGGTTAAACTTCTGTGAGTATCATCGTATTGATCATTTATATCACACATGATGGGATTATATAAGGGCAATTAAAAACTCAATAATCATATTATAGATCCTCAAGATACGCTGCTTAATGTGCACCTATGGTTTTGCCACTTTGATTCTGAGAGAAGTAGGACTTCTATCCTCCTGTCTTGGAATTAGTATTGCAGTTGGTCCCGAATCCCCGGGTAAGTGGGGGGTTGAGACTTGGTAAATGTGCCACAATGAACAAAATATATAACAATGCAATTGATATCAACATGAATATATTATTAAAAATGAATTATGTATATTTATAACCAGATTCTTGCTTACTGAAGAAGCATACGTGTGAAACGTGTTGGAAGGTTATCGTTCATTGCATCAATCTTATGGAAAGAATACATTCATTTAATTTGGATGGCATGTATAAATAAATGTTTAAATGTACAATATGCTATTTATCTAAATCATGCAAGAATCAGGGAAATAATTGTTATGATGTTTTGTATATATATTTATGAATTTTAATCTCTAAAATAAATTTGTGAAAAAAGTGTAATGAAAATCTGACACTTCTTAAAGCCCCATCACTACTATATGTAGTCGTTTGAAAGTCTTATACTGTAATTTATATGGGGCAACATCTATAATAGTCAGGGGCCAACAGGCATCTTTTGGCCCAGGGGGCAAGTACAACTCAGAGGCCCATGGTGCAGCGACTTGGCTCCCCGTTCTGCTCTCCCTCTTCCCCTGCCTTCTCCCCACCCCACTTGCCACTTTTGCCATCCATGTAACAGTAGTGTGAATAGTCCGGTGACATGAGGACTCTTTGGGAAGTCCAGGAAAGTGGTGGTTGACCAGGGGATTGTGCTCTCCTCCAGCTGGGCTCCCCACACGGTTCCAGCCTCACTCCACTCCATGTCTAGTTCTTAAGCACTCTTGCCCGCTGTAGGCAGAGGTTAGTGGTATAACACAGAGGACAGTGGTGTAACACAGAGTGCAGAGTTCTGTTGTAATGTAGAGGGGGCAGAGTTGTTGCTTGTATGTAATGAGATGAAGCCTCATTGTGCCTTTCCTTCTCTCCAGGACCCGCTCTCCTGAAATATCCAGCCATCCAATGGTAGTTCCTCCCTCCCAGCCTATAGTAGTTGAAGTGGGCGGTAAAGGATGCAGGTGGCTGTCAAGGGGCTCAAGCAGTGAACCAGGCAGGCACCATGGGTAGCCAAATGCTTTTTCTCCTCGGTCCCTGCAGAAGCAGAACTGTCAAGTGGGGAGAGCTGACATGGGAGATCGCCACTGTGGGGGTGGCCTTTTTTAAGGGTAATCAAAGGGTCAGGGGGCAATTACCACCCTGCCCCTGGCCCTGTCTGCCCCTGGTAATAGTGCTCTCCCACCACCAACAGGCCAACTTGTTAGTCTGTTTCAGAGCTTAAATAGGGTTAATTACCTTATTCTCTCTTTGTAGCAGTGTTTGAGTCTGGCAGTTGGGCAAGCACTACATCCTATGAGGTCATATGCTCCCAGATACCAGGTACCAGGTATTTTTGACAGTTCTGAGAGACGAACAAAGAGGTCAGAAGGTAAAGCAAAGAAATCGGTGGTATTGAGGGGATTTCTACAATTTGTATGTGCAAAATCACAGACTCTTTTTTTTATATTTACTTTACTATACAAGGTTCCTTGCTTAAATATATTTTCCTTCCTGTAAAGACCTTAAAAGGATCACTGATTTTATACATGAAAGGCTCGTCTTAGAATTGTGGTTAAAGTTGCTGTTGCCCAGGTTAACTGTTTGGATAATCCATTCATTTCTGAGTATATCATAGGGAATTTATCTGTAAAAATTAAAGTATTTACTATCAAATAATTATTTAATCTCTTCTATTAATCCAGAATCCACAAGTTAATTGTTGATGATGTCAGGCCAGAAGATGAAGCAGATTACACATTTGTCCCTGATGGATATGCCTTGTCTCTGTCTGCCAAGCTCAACTTCCTTGGTAATATATGCTTTAATTTTTTTAAGCATTTGAAGCATTTGTGTTTATATACAGATATATACAGTA